AAAAAAAAAAAAAAAAATATACTGATCGAATTGAGTATCCTCCTTCTTTTTCGAAGTCGGTTAAAAAACTAAGAGATACCTTGAAGGGATAGTCAAACAGAACTTAATTAAGAGCTTAAAAGATAAACGAAACTTCTATAATGTAACTTATCTACTATAGAATAACATGTTAACAAACAAACTAGATGTAACTAAACCTAAATCTTTAAAACTAATGCTGCTCTTAGATGAAACCGTGAAGCGATTTCGGTCTAGAAGCAATAAATAAATGCTCGAAGAGATATCGTGGCTTAATGATTTCGTGTATCAATTCTATGGAGCAAAAATCTTCTTGATTCTTCATCATTTCACAGTTTATTAGCAAGTTCCCATCACTTCTAATGAGTAGAAGAAAGCCTGCAATCTTTACCCCGCTGCATAGTGATCCGAATTGAGAAATTTAGTGACATTTTACTAATTTTTAAATATTCTTTTATTAATTTTAAGGTTTTTTTTCAGTGAAACGTTTAATTTAGTTGATATTATTCTTTTATTAGATTATGCAGTTAATTTAAATTTAAACTCACTGTATTTATAGTGAAAAATATATTTTATTTCATCTTGGAAGAGTACCTTACTGTTAATTTTACGATATTCGAGATAAGCATGAGAGAATTCTTTTTTTGAAAGTACACGACAGAAAGTCTGGCGTCTACTTTCCGAAATAATGGCGTGGGTCTGCAACATGTTTATTACACATACATTTCGGTTTAGATACAATTAGAGACCCATTGACTCTGAAGAGAAAGTCAGATCTTTTTCTTTGTAATGAACTCAGTTTGTTTGTACAACCAGATTCATTTTTGTTTGTATCTAAATGATAACAATTTAACATCTTTTAATTGATATTATTCTTCTCATTTTTAAGCAAATTGCTGTTTAAGTAAAATTTTTTTTTTGGTTTGTTCAGGAACGCCACAGAGGATTTAGCGTAGATAAATGTGACTGATACTTCTGGAAAATTTGCTAAATGCACGGCTCTTGTTTCAAGTACAATGGGATCACAAAGCATAGCAAATACCATGTATTTAATTTATGATCAGTCAAAAAATGGATGACGAATCTATGAAAGTAAATTATTTGTTCCTACCATTTCAGTTATCAGTTTTTAGTCAATTATTAGTTCTTCAGCTTCTGCGTCTGGAGTTTTCGGTTTCTTATCGTGAGACTATATATGTAAAGATAATATGTATGGATTAGAAGTTAGTAATAATTTATAAATTGTATCTTTGTTGGCAGCAATGCTTTGATTATTTCTGCGTCTGTAGTTTTTTTTTATAAAATCTTTATATCTACTCTCTAGAGCCTCCTCAGACAATTGACAAAGTAATATCTTCTAAGGGATATCACCCAAAAGTTACACGTTGAATTTGATGAAACTTTTATATGTTATAGAACTTGAAGATATATTTGATACAACCTTTGTCATCGGCCACGAGGCACGGCACAGCTTCTCAAAAGTAAAGTATTGACCTCTAACTATATAATTCGCGGTCCTTAGCTATCGATTACCACCGATCCTTAGCTCGCAGACAGACATAGGTTTATGCCATCGATATCCTAAGACCCCTTAAATCCGAGTCAAAAACCGGTGGTAAAATGACCCTGACACTTGTGCCACCTTTGCACATGACTTGACGCTAACAAACCGACTGGGGTAAGTTATAATTTGATTATTATAAATATTTATATAACAGACGTTAAAATGTTACTTATTTATTATTTTTTATTTATTAATTAGCACTATAATTTATCTTTTAATAATGTATTTTTTTGTTTTATTTTAGGAGCAGTAGGTCGTCGGTTCACCGCATGCAGGAAAATATGCTGTACCTTTACAAATATGTGCAGTGCAAGTTGCAGTCGATGCAGTCAGCAGGTTGAATATGCTAGGTGACTTGTGGGATAGATCAAGCGGAATCCATCTTTCTGCAAATACCCATTGTAGACAGATCTTTTTCACTAGAAAAGAATGCTTTAATCTTCACATTTTGCAGTGTTGAAACGATGAGAAACCGCATCCGATTCGTCCACGGGCAGTGCAAGAGCGCTGGTCCGTGAATCTTTAGGCCGGCATTTGCGGGGATTTTATTGTTGGGCCGTACATTCTGCCCAACAGATTGGACGGACCAACATATAAAATATTCTTGGAGTATGTTCTGCCGACTTTTTTGGAAGAAAATCCGTTGGAGATTCGATAGACCGTTTTTCCAATGTGATGGTGAACCAACCCATTATGCCACTAATATTCGGGCTTTCTTAATCACACCTTTCAGAACAAGTGGATCGGGCAACAGGTGGACGCGGTCCTGTCGCGTGGCCCCCGAGGTCACCAGATATGAACCCGCTGGATTTTTTCTTCTGGAGATTTTTGAAGATAAAATGTAAAATCTTCTTAAGAAAATATTTATTTCAAAGTATTTTAAGTAAAATTAAATTTCATATAAATTTTTCAAAATGAGGTGTATTGACAACCGGTTACCTCTCGGGAAGAACTGGTGGCCCGCATACACGGGGCAGTTACTTCGATCGCGTCTGTTACGCTGCGCAAGGTGAAATACAACATAGAAAAACGAGTTCGAGCGGCGATTGTGGCTAACCGAGGGACTTATTTATAATCGGCCCCTTTTGGGGTCACCTGTTAACGTTCCTTAGATATTCAATACTCTTTTCATCCTTAGTCACATGACAACGGGACCATGCACGTATATGCGACGTGTGAGAAAAACTAAGTTTTTACGAGCGCAGCACTCGTCAGTAGACTTCACCACAGGGTGATAAGGTATTTTTAAGCAGCAATAAATACTGCATGTTTAATAAAGTTGAATTTTCGAAGGTGCAACATGGCTGTAAATACTTCGACGATTATCCGGTGACAACGCTCATAGTACTTTTCACTTACTATCGCAGTTTTGGCTAAGTTACCGACAATGTCGATAAAAATATAAATCGGTCGATAACTGTAACATAGCTTTCTAGACTGCGTATACCACTGCGCAGGGAAACACGCATGTCACATAATTCAATTAGCTAAATATAAAGAGGCAACTTCTTTACGTGTTAATAAAAATGTATAACATATGGTACGAAAAGTAATAAAATTGATGAATGAACGGTAATTTATATTTATCTTAATAACGTATTAAAAATACTAAGATATTTTTTAAATATATTTATTTTAAGAGTAGTAATTGATATACACGAATAATTTATTTCCGTGGCTATCGTGACTGCCGCGTCTACCACGACCCCCGCGTCCTCCGCGGCCACCGCATCCTCCGCAGTTTTTGCATCCTCTAGCATACAATAATGTTTTTATTAACTTTTTTTATCTAAAACAGTATATTTGTAATAGTAATTACTTATTTACTTTCTCACCGGTCAGAAATCGTAAATAAGATAACGCGTGGTCCAGAGGACGCAAATAAGATAAGCTTGAGACAATAACGCAATTCGGAGATAAGCAAAGTATAAAAACGGAAGCAGGCAGGCGCGCGAGAGAGATTCGGAGTCGAAAGAGAGATATTCGGAGTTCATATTCGGAGTTCACCAACGAGCCAGATCGTGTTGTTGCGAGTCAAATATCGAGATCCTTCTATAATACTTTTGTAACAAGTGTTTACATTGTAAAGTGTTGCGGTTGAGAAATAAAGTTTTTTTGAAACACAAACAGAGTGATTTCCTGCGTAATAACTTACGTTTTTGATGGACGGCGAAATTTCCGCCTTGTCTCCCTGTTCAACCTCATTCTTATTTTCTTTATTCCTATCCTTTTTTCCTTGTCGTGTTTCATTTTCTGTTTCAATATCCATCTGTAATTAAAATGATGAATTTATTATTTTACCATAATATAATAATTTATTATTTTATAGTACGTACTTTTTGTACACCTTCCGTTTCCGTGTTTGTTGCTGGACGGACGATCAACGATAGCAACCCACGGGATCTCCGGAACATCATTACACATATGCAAGTATCGATAAATGTCGAAAAAAAATGCCTTCTCATCAACCGTGTCCCGACAACGATTATATTGCATAGTAATATAAATAGCGTAGAGATTAAGATAGAATGAGTGATTTTGCACCGTTTTGTTCTGAATTTTTGCAAACACTTTTATTATTTAACAGAAAACTTTAACTTTTATAAAAAGGAAAAATAAACCGAAACTCTAACAATAACTCAAAGAATAAAACTTAATACTATTTAATAAACACTGAACTTTTTAAAAAAAAACGCCTTTACTTCGCCTATTTCAAAAACGTCTTTCTCTCGCCACGATCTCCAATCAACAACGCTCCTTTTTATAAAAAAAACACATATCAAGCCCGCTTGCTTTATAACGCCTTGAAACGTCGATTATAACAATTTACAATATTATTACCGACGATCGGTCATGGTCATTTTCTCATTCCCACACTCGGCCATCCTGCACTAGCATCCGCCCTCGGATGCTGCACCTTCCGAAACCTCGAGTTGCAAAGACCGAAACGTACGCGTAAAGATTTATTCTGACCGTCAGATACGTTAAATGCGGTAAATTTACAACTATCCTCACCTATTGGCACACGGAAAAATTCGCTTTTAAGACCAGAAGTGCTAAGAATTCTCGCTCCTTGCAACGCATCCAACTGATCCTGCACGACAGATAAGGAACAAAAGTCCTTTACAATTTCTTTTTCTAATCGTTTCGTTCGCTCATTTACCAGTCCGTCGTCTTTCAGTACAGTATGCATACAGGCTTCAGTTTCCCGGGTTTCCTCAGACATAGTTTTCGATCATTGACTGCACCTCTTCCTAAGTCACACCTCCTGCGAAATAAGATAGATTCACCCTTGCTGGCTTTTCATCGCAGTCATTTAGGAAGATGTCCTGGACCTTGTTATCAAGATCGGATTCTTGTTGAGTCGGGACAATCGTTACAGTACCACGGTTAATTGTTACTTTCACCGACCCTAAAAAGTCTACACCGATTAAAACATCATACTTTAATACTGTGTCCGACACTACATGGACCGTGACATCGTATGAGTAACCGTCGACCGCGAGTTTTCCCATAAATTTCCCTAACGTCTTATAAATAGATCCGCCTACACCTTGAAACACTAACTCACTCGCCAATAATCGTGGTGCTCCAATTTTAACATAACACGTCGCCGCCATAATAGTTAAATTGCTACCCGTATCGACCAACGCCGGAATATTGTAATCGTTTAACCTTACCATTATGCAAGTCTTCTCTGTTGTCGGTAGTTCTACATAATTCGTACTCCGGGTTGCTTGCCTTTCATCATGCTTCTTACACTCTAGAGTGATGTGTCCATATTCGCCACAATGATAGCATTTAACCCAGCGTTCTTTTGTGGGGCAGTTTTTGCTAATATGCCCTGCTCCTCCACAGTTATAGCACCTATCCGATCCTCTTGTTCACGCCCATTCGTTGACTCTTCTGACTCCTGTAGTACTTGCCATTGCCGTAGTCACAGGTTTTGGATGATCTACTCGTACGCCACCAACCTGGTTCCGTGACGGTAGTGAAAGCTTCTCAAATGCTCGCAATAACGCATCCGGGGTGGTGAAGCATTGCATCCTTGCTTGGTTCCGGAGCATAGGATCCGGGATCCCTTCGACCAGATACTCAACAAGCTCGATCTGGTCCTCCACCGACACCCTGTTTGCTTTAATAATCTTATCATAAAAATATTCGTCAAACGGCTCACCCCTTTTCCAAGTTCGCTCTTGGAACTGTTGGCGCACTGCAACCATGCTCGGCCTATGATGGAACATCTCTTTGAACCGGTCAAGCAGCCGTTTAACATTTATTTCAATGAATTCTGGACGAGACTGCATCGACTCCCGAGCCTTTCCTTGCAGTCTCATTTCTATTAGAACCTTCACCTCTTCGTCTTCAATCCGGTACGTTGCTTGCAGCATCTGTATTTGCTTGGCCCAGTTTGGAAAATCTTCCGATTTCCCGTCGAAGAATTTCAGCAGCTCTGCGACGGTTGCCACCCCTATCCGACTGCTACGCACTGCCAGCTGCTCTTCTGTAACACTCGGACGCTCCATTCTTACCATTTCAAGTTCACGCCGTGTGACTACAAGCTCGCGTTCCATCAAAGCTTTTTCCCGTTGCAAAAGATCAATTTCAAAACGACTTCTTTCAAGTTCTTCATCATTCCTCATTGACAAAGGAGCGCTTACACCACCAATTGCTCCTTCTTCTTCCGTGACGAACACGCTTTCATTACTCGGATCGCCCTCCTCGTTCGAAGCACTCATCCAACGGCCCGATGGATCGTGTTCGTGTAACCGCGCTATTAGCTCGGTCTTAGTGATGTATTTAGCCTGTAAGCTCGCAGCATGTCCTTCAATTCTAAAACAGTATGTCCTCCTGCTTCTTTAGCCGGCATATTTCGTCCTTATTTTAAAATGCTTGACTCTTTGCATACACCAATAATGCAAATAACCACTCAGTCTTTTCGGATCCTTTTCTTTTTATCCCGGACGAGCCCCCAAAAATGTAGAGATTAAGATAGAATGAGTGGTTTTGCACCGTTTTGTTTTGGATTTTTGCAAATATTTTTATTATTTAACAGAAAACTTTAACTTTTATAAAAAGGAAAAATAAACCGAAACTCTAACAATAACTCAAAGAATAAAACTTAATACTATTTAATAAACACTGAATTTAAAAAAAAAAAAACGCCTTTACTTCGCCTATTTCAAAAACATCTTTCTCTCGCCACGATCTCCAATCAACAACGCTCCTTTTTATAAAAAAAAAACATATTAAAAACGTCGATTATAACAATTTACAATATTATTACCGACGATTAACATTTATTATCGACGATCGGTCATGGTCATTTTTTCGTTCCCATAATAGTTACATAGTATAGTAAGGAACATTCAATTACACCGTTGTATAAAGTATCGTGTAAAAAATTTTGTAATCTAACTTTTTAGTTGTCTACGCTGCCATTCGTAGTCCCCTTGGTTCTGCGGAGAAGCCTGGAGGACGATTTTGAAGCAAGTGCAACTGAAATGTTATACGGAACAACATTCCGATTTTCTTGGAAGTACTTCATCGAGAAGGACTTGAAATCTGAGCATCAAGCATTTTTGCAGTACCTCCGGACCTAGATCTAGAAAATCCGACCTGCACTGGCTATTGGCCACAACAAAACACGGCCATTCCAGTATCGATCTTTAAATGTACGTACGTTTACATCCGGACGAGCGAGCACCGAAGCCTACTGGAATTTGCAAGGCACAATATGAGGTTTTGGACAGAAACTCGGTGAGAGTTTACACTATTCAAACTGAGTACAGCCCTAACCGTCTCTACAAAACGCCACAAACCAGCCTTTCTAGAACCTTCGAAGAATAATAAACGCGGAAAGAATTGTCTATCATCCTTGATGCGAAAAACTTAGACCGCAGTGGACAATTCTTTTCACCTCTCTTACTCTTCGGACTTACCGTTGGGACCGCAGACTATCGGCTATCGGTTTCGGCAGGCAGAGTCAAACATGCGGCACTTACCGTAACAATAAAACCGTTTTTATAACATACTATTCGAATCGTGACGTCTCTGCTGAAAATCATTAAATTTCTAAGCGTTATATTCCGAAATCTAATAAAAATCGGGTAAATACATTAAATCTTAATGAATTCGTTTTGAAAAGCACTATTATTTGATCGAAATATATATATAGTTCCACTTAAAAAATGAAGCTTCATCATCATATTTTTTACACTAATAACATTAAAAAAATTTTGTTAACGCCAAAACATAGAGCCCTTTTTATCCTGCAATTTCCATATAAACACTTTTTCGTGTCATCAGTAGTTCATGAACTATCGTACTGTTACACTTAGACGTAGACACCTGCATATAATTTGACTACTAGACCTGAAATATGAAGCAACAATTTTTTTTGACATAATTATATTTAATAATAATTTTATACTTACCTTTTTAGAATTATTAGAAACATTAGCTTTTTTGTATTAATAATTTTGGGATTACAGCATTTATCATTTTTGTCCATGGATGGTCGATAGACCAACTGTTGATTTTAAATACCAAAATACCAAATAAGCTGTTAAATAAATTGCTATTTTTGGTAGTAGTGGCAAAAGGTATTGATGCATTAAAATTTTCATCATTGGTTTATATGTGACTATTTAAATAATGCTCTTGGAATTCCGTTTTGCTTATTGTTATTTTGGTGTAAATTGACCTTGGTGTGTTCAGTAGGTACTTTTGCATTAATGAAGTGTTGTACTTATAATTGTACCACTTGGTCAACTACTTCTTTATTACTTACCTTCTTGAGATTTACGAGGTCTGTCCCAAAAGTATCCGACCTTCTTTAATTTCTTCGCACCTGACAATTTTAGCGTCATTTGCGGGGTATGAGTATCAACTGCAAAGTTTTACGAACTCACACGATATCGCAGTTTTCGTCGGGACGCCTTAGTTCATGGGCAACGTGCATTTCTTTACGAAGCGTTTTTTACGTTCGTCGCATTCTGCTGTTGTAAAAAATGAGGGAAGGATCGGAGCAACGAATTTGCATCAAATTTTCCTTAAAACTCGAAAAGTGTTGTGCGGAAACCATCGATATGATGAAGAAGGTATTTGGGGATGAGTATATGAACAACACACAAATCAAAGAATGGTATAAGCGGTTCAAAGATGGCCGCACAGCTGTTGATAGTAACCCACGCTCTCGGCGGCCTTCCACGACAACAAGACCTATTAATATCGAACGTGTGCGACTTGCGATCAACGAAAATCGTCGATTGACTGTGCGAGAACTAGAATATGATCTTGCAATACCGAAAACTAGTTTTGGCCTCAGTTTTGGTCAAGCGGTGATTGGCTTCTTCATCACGATAACGCGCCAGCGCATGCATCGAATCTTGTGCAGCAATATTTGACGAAGCACAAAGTCATACAGCTCCGTTAGCCTCCGTACAGTTCTGATGTAGCTTCCTGCGATTTTTGGTTGTTTCCAAGATTGAAAATGCCACTCAAAGAACACCGATTCGACGATAAAGAAACGGTCGAAACTAATACGACGAAAGCTCTAAAGACTATTCCGAAAAACGAGTTCCAGGACTGTTTCCATCAGTGTAAAGGTCGTTGGCAGAGTATTCTACAATCAATAGGGGACTACTTCGAAGGATGCCACCAGCCTGATGACGCAGGATAACACCAGCAGGGAAATATGAAGGAAGGTCGGATACTTTTGGGACAGACCTCGTATGTGTGGTGGAACAAAAAGTGTTCTACCCACATTATTCGCGTAAAGTAGTTTGGCTTAATATTTTAGAACTTGATCTTAATAATGTAAGAATCAACTTCATATTATAACAGGAATGTTATAATACATATTTAAGATCATAAAAAGGCTTATCATAAGACTTTGTCAACTTGTCACTATATTGTTCTCTTTTATCTATGAAGTGCATTCAATGAATATACAGGGTCTTCAAAAAATCCCCGCCCGGTTAAATAACTTAAACCGTAGGCCAGGGATACGCAATTGGCGGCCCGCGGGCCGGATCCGGCCCGCGAGGCTCTTCAATCCGGCCCGCGACGTCCAAATTTGACTCGCAGAAAAAAATGAAAACTAAACTAAATTAAACTGAATCCTGAGATTCCGAATACAGAAAAGAGAAAAAATTAAAAAAAATGGGAATCGACTTTGTCTCACCTCCACGTGGTGATTCCTGGATAATTCAAAGAAGACAAAAATATAGGTTGTAAATTCTTAATTTTACTGTTGTGGCCCGCGAAAAAAAAAATAAAAAATAAAAAACAAAAAAATTAAAAAAATAAAAAAAAACAAAAAAAATTAAAATTAAAAAAAAAACAAAAAAAATTAAAAAAAATGGGAATCGACTTTGTCTCACCTCCACGTGGTGATTCCTGGATAATTCAAAGAAGACAAAAATATAGGTTGTAAATTCTTAATTTTACTGTTGTGGCCCGCGATATAACATTCAAATTTTACATTTGGCCCGTCGAAAAATCTAGTTGCGTATCCCTGCCGTAGGCGTTGCTCAACAAAATGGTTTAAAGTTATTTAACCGATCCGGGACTTTTTGAAGACCCTGTATTATTTGCTACTGATTCATCATAAAGTGAAATTAAATATACCTGAGAAATATAGGGAAACTATATTGAAAGATAAAATAGAGTTCAATGATAAACTAAAAGCTTTTAAATGTCAGTCGATTCGTTTCTACTTGATTCTTTACAGAGATTTACAATATTAAGAGAGTTTTGTATCAGTTCCCACAACAAACGTGGATTTAAAATTTCTTAATAATCATACTTAACTATGTGATACATAATAATTCAATGTACACAACAACACGGCCGACTTATTTTTTCCTGTGCACTTCTTATCAGGTTCTATACACTGATTACATATTTGTCACACTTATTAAAGCACATTGGTAACAAGTGATCATCTTCGACTTTAATTAGAAATGACAATTTTTTTACAGGAATTTTGTTGTATAAATTATAAGCAAACATTATAACGGTTACAAAGTTTTAAAGGTTATATTGTAACAATTAATATTGGAAATAGAATGATTTTGATTACGAATAATCATTAAAAACCTTTTTTTTTACACTAATAATTATTATCTATAAGAGAAAATAGTAACAATAGTAACCTAACCAATGACGAAAATTTAATCTTGATTATTATTAACCACTATCATTAACCAAGGACTGAAAATAAAATTTTATTTATGTCTTGAAAAGTATAAATAACAAAAATTTCCACTGGTTTCAGTACAAAGTTATGCAGTACCAGCTTGCATAAAAGCTATTTCTAGCTGTTATTGTTAATTAATTTCACTATAAGCGGATAAAAAATATATTCCAATATGTAAAAAATATGAATAATATATTTTTGAGTTCTTGAAACTTAAAACATTTGTCAGATACTTGTACAAAAAAAAACATAAAAATAGCCTTTTATTCCTTCGAGAAATTTCGTCAGAAAAAAACAAGTGAAGTGCGCTTTTCAGGCACGAACAAGCACCTCCTCGATTCTTTGTCTTTTTAGTTTCAGTTTGGCATTCGTACAGAGCATTCAGGTACTCAATGTTGGCGCGGCGCGGGAGTCGCGAAATAATCATTTCGTTACTCCAAGACAATAGGCAGGGCCGACTGCCGCGTCGCGCCAATATGGAGTATCACTGACAGCGGCGCGTGTTTTGCTGAACTATTTTTTTTATAAAAAAAAAGCAAAGGTGATTTTGTAACTTCGCTTTATGCCTTCTTCTGCAGAAATGTCTGCTCTGTCATGTGCGATGGTTAGATTTTCGCCTAGACCCATAGTTTTTTAAATAAATTGAAAAATATCAGAAAAAATTGGTGCGTTTTTGGTGTCTTTCTTACTTTGATCATCATTTAAACGTATTTAAATATTTACAATGTAATAACAATTTATATAGTTTTATTCAGAATAATTCACAGATTCTTCTCGTGTAAAAAGCCACTGAATAGTTGCTACGGTAAAAGCACAACAAATTTCCAAAGTTGAAAATTTGCAATTTTTTTTCAAATTAATTTTTTCCAAAACTGTACGTCCTAGCGAAAAACGGATTTCAGATTCGTATTCAGCTCGCAAAAATCTATAAGAATTTCATAGTAGCCGTTACGAAATCAGTTGACTGTTGTACAGTGTAATTGGGATTTGACAGAGTTTGGCATGCAGTGGAATAAATAATTATACGTTTAGAACACAATTAACTAAGTATATTAAAAATGAAATTGTACAACATGAAACGCACAAGCGCGTGTGAACATAACAAAAGAACATTTTATGAACACCACAAATCATTTGGAATAGTTTTCAATTTACTGTAAAAAAAATAATAATGTCAAAACGTGAAGTGTATAACAACACAATATACGTTATAAAATAGGGCAGACATTTGTGCATGAAAAGTTGAAACAGAGGCTTTTCAAGATGAGTATAATGTCAACTTATTATAACAAATTGTGATGGAACGAAATTTTGCTAAAATCTAGCGTTCTTTGATCGAGAAAAAGGTTTTAGCTAAATATTTTTAGAAGATTCGGAAAATGGCGAGGCTACGCTTTCTGATTTCTGTGGAAACATTTTCTTTCTAAATGACTTCAGTTTCAATTAACCGTTCATTTTTGAATTGTTGCTAATGTGTATTAAAAATATACTTTAATATTTAAAAACGTCAAAAAAAAAGCCAAGTTTTAATGTTTTTTGATGAATGAAGGTATAGAAAACGTATAGTTTATAAATGCGTGTTTTAATCCTTTTTATTTTTTTTTTTATCAAACTAAGACTTCAATATTATCTACAAATTCTGAAACTTTCTTAGAGTTTCTTAGTTAGCAATTTAGAAGATGGAAATTGATCTGAACTTCTATTTAAAATTCTCTGTAGTCCTTCTAATAAAAAAAATGTAAACGAGATTTTTAACAGACAACATTAAATTCTTAGGAAATATAGCGTAACGTCTTCGTTGATTTTGTATTGCATCAAACAATAGAAGAAAACAATATTTGAAATCATTAAAGATATCGCATTAAGTAACTATTTATTAAATTATTCGTTTTGATAATATGTATTAATTAGTAGCAATTTTTAGTGACTAAATACTACTTTTTAGGTAACTAATATTAAGTCGAAAGAACAATAACGATAAACAAATTTTTATTTATGTATAAGTATAGTACTTTAGTATTTTGTTCTATCATTTATTTATAGTTATGAAATTAAACATTAACTATGGACTTTCAGTAATTTTAATCATTAATAAGTTTATTCTAATCTAAGTTAGTTTACTTAATATTAAAAAAAGTTAATTTCTTATTTTTTATTTCCGAGATAAAATTGTATATTGCGGAAATTATTCATTTTCTCACTTTATTTATTCATGTACCATTATACAGGCGATAAAATTAAAATCGTGAAATTAAACTATCCACTATCTTAAATATTTTTTAAGAATTTAATGCTAATTATGTATTTAAAAAATGGAATGTACAAGTTGGCTCAATAATAACTTCTTAGTACATACTGTGGTTTTCGCTTATTTTACACAGAAAAAGTCTTATTAATATAATTTTATTCATGTTCTATCAATAGATCGAAAATACGTACCGCTGTTAAACATACTTCTTGTTTACCAATTTATAAAAAGGTATTTAAATAGGATGCAATGTTTTCAGTTAGTACAACACGAATGGCAGATATATCATAATCGTAAGGAACAAAGGATAGGGCCAAATTAAGATTTCATGTGGTTTGAACTATTTATTGGTATTGATTTAATTGTGAAATATAGGTTCCCTTAAAGCTTGGCAAAAACACATTTATACCTTGATTTCATAGAAATGTTTTCAACATTAAAAATACGTTTCTTATATCTCCGTTTATAAAAAAAAACAACAAAACATAGTTTTTTCTTTTCGCTGTTTTTATTAAAATACATCTCAATACAGACAATCATAGAATTCATAAACTAAAATCGGTTAATTAGAACCGAAACTATAATACGATACTAAAAAAATTTTCTACGAAAATCAAAGTCCAGTATCACTGCCATTTTTCCGAGTTTTCAAAAAATATTTGGTAGGAACTTTTTCTCAATCAGAAGATAAAGTACGTCGAGTTACAACAAAATCTTATTACGATAACATGATTAGGTGGTGAGCTAACACGGAATTTACCCACAGTAATCAGAATTGAATATCTTTTATTCATAACTTTCTCAGAAACTGAGATTTACAGAGAGTCGGTAATCGGTTTTGAGATTGCAATCAGTGTATGAAACTCTGTGAGAAATGCATAGAACGTATCAGATAACATAAAAAAGTGTTGAATATTGTTGGACACCAATCTGTTTTTCTCGTATGCGAAGATTATTCAACTTTTTTCTGTTAACATTTTTTCGCTTTCAAGACTTTCACAGATTTCTTTCCATTTTTATGAATTTCGAATGCATTCGTTTTTTATATTATTACGAGTTCGTAATGTTGCAATATTATGAGTTCTGCATAGATCTAATTTAAGGTGATTGTATCGCGACAGTCGAGTTCAACAGATATTGGTAGATAAGATAAATGAACTAATTTTATAAGAATGGTTATTGAAGTGTTAATCGCTGATATAAACGAGTGTTTTATCATTGGAAGGATCTTATTCAATAATCACTTCAATATACTAGATGGTACTATGCCTAGTTAAAACTATGCAGATTAGGGCAACTCATCTTCCTTATTTTTAATTTTATTTATGATAGAAATTGTTTTAATTAATAAAAAAATAATTTGTGCAACATTTGAAATTGACAGACTAACTATAAAAAAATGGTTATCATGTGCTTAGATAATAAATTAAATGCTGTTAAAATTTGACATTAAACCATTGAATTATATGCTGTCTAAATCGGTTTGCTCCGATTATCTTTGAAGTTATTAATTATGTAAAAGAATATGTTAAATAAAAATTGTGTATTTAGCCAAGAAGCATTTTTTATATTCTACTACATTTTATCGTGTGACGAATGGATTTTGAAAAAAGTGAGAAAAATTTACAAATATATCTTTTTAATTTTCACCCGCTGTTGCAATTTGTTATTGTTGAAACTTGTGTTAGAACTTTACAATATTTTTTATTTAAAATATTATAACGGTATATGAAAAATATTATCGTTGGCAGCGTGATATTTGAAAAGTTGAAACAATTCTCTGAAATTATCGTATGGTGCTTTTACATAAAAAATACTTCTTTCTTGTTCCTATTCATAAAAGAATAATAATAAATATAAAGTGCATTTCAGATTCTAAAACTGAAATCAGTTAAAAAAATCTTTTTCGAATATGCTTTTCTCATTCCTTTCAGAAACTGTTCGTCATATGAAAAAAGTAACAAAAATATGCCGAAATAGTTTGGAACAGGTATATTAGATTCGTTTACCACCAAGGACCACATTATACAAAGTGTTTCAGCCGATTTTGATATTTAATATTACCACCTATATCGCACATAGCAATATAATGTATGTTTCATAGGGAACTTAAATGGTATCGAGTTAGGCATATTCTGGAGTTACTGGTTCTTTCGTAAGAGTACGCGTCAAAGAAATATGAAAGTAAACTTTGCTTTTTTAAATGGAATATGGTATTCTTTTGTACATCTAAAGATGCAGCTGGACATTCATTATAAAGAAGTACTAACCAATGCATGTTGAAAAGTTAATAGCTTAGGAGATATTTCAAGTGAAATAAATAATTTAAATGCTATGGTATTTCTGCCGCACTAAGGCGCGAGTTCTGTTTACGTATATATTCCAATATAAGACTATCGGAGATGATTAATTGAAATCAGTATGTTTGAAATGTAAATACTTAAAAATTATTCACTCCTAACAACAGTTTTTCATTTTGAGTTCAGTGTCTGTTTTTTCAAAAGCGAAATATTCTGGAGCTGAAAAAGTAGATATGGTTGCTACGTATTTGGAAGCAGGAAAAAGGTGCAATCAGTGCAAACCAATTGTATGGAGAGAGATTTTTTCGTAGAAATCAACCATCGTGTAATTTTAGTTACGTATTCAAACAATTTTATCAAGCTAGAAATTTGTCATGTAAGACATTCTGCATATTATTCTTTGGTAACAAGAAATGCTTTAAATTAATAATTTTTGAATTGTTGGATTGGGAGAGGCAGTTCCATTCAATTTTTAACCCGATTATCTGATTTAACGCTGCTTTTCTTATGGAGCTATATAAAGGATAAAGTTTATGCGAAAGTTTTAACTGTAGTGGCTGATATGCAGTAATGTATTATCGACGAATGTTGCAAACTATCAGCCAATACATAAAATAACGTAAACAATATCAGTACACATTTTAGAATTCTTTAAGGTAAAATTATCTCCTAAACTACTAGCTTTTCAACATACTTGAGTCCGTATTTTTTATAAGGAATATTTAGCTGCATTTTTAGATGTATAAAAAATAATTAATCTATTTAAGAAAGTAAAGTTTATCTTAAAAGTTTATCCTTGACGCCTTCACTTTCGACAAAACTAATAACACCAGAATTTGCTTAACTAGATACTGTTTAAGTCTCCCCTGAAACATTTGTCGTTACGTGCAACAATAGTGAACAAATCGAGATGTCAAAACCGGCTGATACACCCTGTACATTATAGATCAAACTGTGGACTGCATTAATTATTTAATTCATGTATTTATTTATAGTTTTAATTCAAAAAAAATTCAGTGGTGACAAAGTGAGATAATTATGTTGGTTATATTGGTTTTTTGTTAGTTATGTTTGAATTGACTAATTTAAAAGATAATTAAAATAAAAGATTTTCATAACATTAATCAATTATTTTTATATATGATAATCAGAAACTTCTTTTTCTTGTTACTTGACCGAGCTTAAATTTCGTACAAATCATTTTTCTATTAATTGAAATTAATCTGGAAGGAGAGGGCATCTTAATGTATATCCATCTCTCAGGAAATCTTTAAGTTCTCGTGAAAGGTGTTTTATAAAAAAGATATAAAATTTCAAGGATGGATTTCAATGAGGCTTTTGAATTTGACTTTGGAATTAAATTTAGAAATTATTCCACAGTTAACTTAAGCTTTTCATACGGAATAGTCTATTTGCATATTGAAAATTGATAGTGCGCAAAATTTTACGTTTATAGCATAGTGAAATATTTGTCGCTGTGGTCTCAAAGGTCACATGAAAATTATGATGTTTACTGAAACAGTAAATTAATTGTTATCTGGGTTAAATTTTTTAAAATTTAAGTGAGGGTTAATATCGTTTCGTAAAATACATTTTTCTTAGTCATTACATAGTGAATTTGAAAATTTCAAATAAGGATCACTTTTTGACCCCATTTCGATAATGAATACTTGGACCTAGATTATTTGCGATATTCAATCGTTTCATTATCTAAATTAATTATATCTTATCAATCTATGCATGGTATCTAAAACAAAAGCATTATTTTCTACTTTGTACCTAATCGTTACTCAATAATAAACGTCATCTGCAGGTTACTATAGTCTTTACCGTAAAATTTTGTGTCTAGCTAATTTCCAATATCAAGAATTAAGTTTTGGAACGGAAAAGCATAAGTAAATTTTCAAATAACATTCAATTTTATTTTAAAATTTGAATTCCAGAATATTAGTTCTGTTCAATTTCTGTTTTGAGATCTCATAACTTTTGTCTAAAACATCTTTTTCCTAAAAAAGTGTGTCCCTAAAATATACATATGTATGTAACAGCTTTAGAGAATATAATCTTTTCTGTATTGTATATGTTAAATGGATTTTCAATGTTATTAACTTCGTTTTAATAAGTTGACTTTTTAAATTTCACTTGTGTTTAATTATTATTCGTATCTAATTAAATTTTAAAGAAATTTCATGGTAAAGCGTGTTCGTAATACAATCACCTTATCTATAAAATTATGATAGAGTATGATATATTGAGAGTAAGATTCTTTTTGAAGAAAATTTGAAGCAGAGGAAGTGAAAAGTTGCTCGTAGCTTTTTGTGTATTTGCTGATGATCAAACCTATGTATAATTTAATCGAATTTACGTTAACGATGATTATACTCAATAATTACATTCGATAAAATTATCGCTGATATTTTTTTTTAATAGTTGCAACGGTGTTTCTTAACAGTAGTTTAGTTATTATAAATTTAAAGTAAATTAATAGTAAATCTTTAGGTATGTGATATAATATGCTTCTTCGTTATTCCATTTGATGGACGAGACAGCAGTATATTAATTATTTGGTAGAAGGATCAAGCCACACGTTCGGACAGTTCGATAATTCCATTTATCATGCTTTGATCATAACGTGAAATTTCGATATTTATACGATTTTAATGCACGTTAAACTACGTAAGCTTTCTTTTCTTCTGTTTTATTGCTTTCGTTCGTAATTAAAAGGGTTATGACAACCGTTGTTAGCACCGATTGCAAGTAATAATCCCTTGTTTCCCCGTACTTTTTTCGTCGATATCTATTTTTAAATTTACGATTTGACAAACAAGTTTATAACGTATAAATAATTTAAGTACATATTTCGTATCACGCTAAGTTAATGAGCTGAAGACGATTTTTATTATTAAAGTATCACGTTTTCCTTGTGATAAGGGTTAGTTGAAAATAATGATACAATCATAAAGAAAATGAATATTGTAGGAATGATATGCAGAAAAATATATTTTGAAATTCGGTCGAGCACACTTGTACTTACTCTTAATTACGTTTAATTAACATAATTAATGTTATTAATTTAGTTTTAAGTGTTCATTCGTCAAGCGAAGTTTGCTTGTAGTGATTTAATTTTCTATTCAAATAAATTTTTCTATGGTTTTTTACGTTTTTCTTATCGACAATAATAATTAATTTATTTGATATTTATCTACATTTTTTATTTTATTTCTTGACAATAATTTTCAATTCAAACCTCGTTCATCATACTGTTTTTTACTGCTTAGTTCATATAAATCTTTTTTAATTTTCTAGTTTTTAATTACATAGTATTGAATTGAAAGTATATACTAAAGTATTATCATGAATTAATCCTTGAATATTTTCATCAATGTTTTTGAGCAATATCTCTTCCCTTGCTTATTAGTAACAAATATTTTGAATTATTGCCCAATCAAATTGCACGTATTTATTTTCTTCCTTATTCAAACGTCAGAACCTTGCATTTCAAAGATGCTGATCAATTAGGATTTTACTTCAAAACAATAATCATTTCCTTTGTGATTGCATCAATATTCTTCATCCACTCTACTTAACCCTTATTCAAGCCCTCTACCCTTAACATTTTTTAAACTTTGTATATCAACAGCCTGGATCAATCACATCAACGTAAACGTTGTTAATCAAAATCTTAAAACACACCTCCACGATCAATATATTCTTTCCATTTATACCCTTACGCGATATCCTTAAAAAAACGTTCTATGATCAGAGTAGCAAAGTTTGTCTTCTTTCAGTAATATCTAGTCGTATCGTTCCTTTGTCCTCTTCTGGTAACGCCAACTCCTTTGAACCGAGCTCATCGAGAAAGTCGCTATTGCATTTCTCGCGAGCATTTAAATATATTCGGCAAACATAATCCAGTAGGTGACGTTCAATACAGCGAATAGGAAGGGGAAGAAGACCCGTGAGACTCGATCGATGTTCAGAGCACGCATTCGCGCCCTTTGGGCAGGTGTAGGGCCTGGCGGTGGTCCAGCTGATGATTTCTGCGATCGACCGGATAACAACATTGCGTTCTCCTGCGTGAGAACGATCACAACTTGAACCGCCGCTGTGCAGACAACGCTTCTGTGCCTCGGAGATATTGGAGAGATGAATGAATGATCAATATCTTCCATTTTAAAATCACTTTTCCATTGTGTACCTTCGAGTACGTAAGGCTTTCTTCAGATAAAGATAGATACGTAAACTTGGAAATTTGTAAATATCCAAATTTTCATATTTAGACAACTTTACATTTTTAAATATTATTCATCTGCAACTTTTCAGTTTTCTTAATTTCAAAGTTTCCTGAGTTGTCAACGATTTGATTTTTAAAATCACCTAATTTCTTTATTATTAAATTTCTATACTTCAAAATGATCTAGTATTCAAATTTTGCAGTCCATGTTTCTAATCGACTGGATTCTGAATTTTTTACATTTTAAAATTTTCAAAATGTTAAATCCTTAAATTTTCAAATCCTCGAATTCTTAAATTTGACTGTACCTCCAAATCCCCAAATTCCCATATCAGTAAATTCACAAATAATAAGGTCACCAATTTGTGATAAATCCTCAAATTAAGTTGTCAAAAATTCTCTTAGTAGTTATGTTTTTCGCAGAAAAAAACAGATTCGCTCTTGGTTGCGCAGCAAATCGCAGCTAAAATCGAGCACTGCAAATCGTTTCACAAAACGAGACTTGTTTAATGAATATAATAATATTCCGTGTGTACCAAATGTCTGCGTGTGAAAAAAAAATCAAATTCCATCAAGCAATTGACACAAAATGACTATATGTATATGATCACATGTAGGAAATATGTTTACAGCCAAAATCGTACATATATAACAATTATTCAATAACTCTTAATTTTTTGCTATTTTGAAATCTCTATTTCAAAGAATTTCTATTGCAGTTAATCTTAACTAACCTTGAATGTCCTTAATAGATTACTGTATCCGTCTGGAAACACTTTATTCGCTTGCAAATAAAATAACATATCGTTCCAATTCGAAATTAGGGTTAATAATCATATCTTCTCGATACCTCCATCTAATTAAAAACTAGTAATATCAGATTATGAACCCGTTGATATCTAGTAAATTTTGTCTAACGCATTTTTCTTCTATTTTTACGAGCAAACGAGTTACTTCAGTGACTGATTCAAATATTCCACCTTGTATAAGATTTATCAATATTTTTAAGCAAATTAGTTAGCTATGTTACTTGTACAGACACCAAAAAGGTTTATTCAAGATAATCATATGATATTAACAGAGGTATAACGTATAAATAATAATTCTTTAAACACAGAATATTTTCTTTGAGGCCAATTTCATTTGTTTAAACAATATCGTGAAGGGGAACTTAGGAATATTAGATAGGGTAGAAATACAAAACATCGAGATTTTTATCTGAACATAGTACTTACATTTTTGACAGTAATCGGAAATTATATATTACGAAGGTTGTGTTTATTTTATGTGTATGTGAAATGTGACAGAATTGCTTAGTTATAGAGATACCATTGCAACCACTTTGAAAAACACGATTTCGAGAAAAATGCAAAGTATCACAATGATACATCATTATTCTAGGTATCGCTTTCTTAGAAAATGTTTTATACTTTAAAAATACAATACAAAAATTTGTATTTTGATCTCAATAAAATATTAATATGTCAACGAAATACGTTTGTTTTGTCGTCAAATGTTAAATCAATTTCAAATAATTCAAGTTAAAGATGTGAATTTCCATGTAATGATTAATGCAAAAATGACTTCGTTTCTTTGTATATGCTCCAGAATAGTGTTTCTTCTTAACAACAATAAGAGTAGACTTTGCACCTGTTATGCTAGAAATTGTCGCGTGTAAATAATTATACCTTTATAGACCAATTTTAGTTTCATTTAACCCCCTAATACTACGTAACATAACAACCAACATAAAGCAACAGTTCAAACCTTGAAATTAATTAATTGAGGAAATCAAGTAAATCAACAGAAGAAATTCTTTGCTTTGCAATAAAATAATTAAACAAATAAAATCTTCCCTCGCCTCTCTCATCATTAATAAAAACAGATACCTTTAAATGATACAGTTCAAGTTGTCACTGATAAAACTTCCTAAAACGACTCGAACAAGGAAGAATCTCTTTAAACTATCAGTGTCACTCTCAATTTTTTTCTCCGAGGCACAGAAGCTGTCTGGAACAATCAAATTTTCATCCAGGCGTTACCTTAGTGGCGATGTCGAAAATTTTATCCAGCTTCGTGGAATCTGTACCACTGGAAGATGGCGGCTGAGGAGGAGGCGCAGGCTTTGCCGCTGGTGCGTCCGAATCGCCAAGAACGATATTTACCAGACAATATTCCATTAACGCCATGAACACGAAGACCGTACAAACAGACATGAATGCATCGACGGCCTTTAAATATGATACAGGAGGTAAAGATGCTTGACTCTTTGCGTGTTGCGTCGATAGAGTGAGCAGAGATGTTACACCCAGCGTTACTCTGGCTGGCGCTGCTTCCGGTTTTATCCAAAAAGAAACCCACTGCGTGGAATACAAATTTTATGTCATAGTACAAACAGCGTTTTGTAAACATCTCAAAAATTAAGACCAAGCGGCAGTTTCAGAAAAAAGATATTCAAAATGATATAATATACACTGCTCAAAAGAAATATGGCATAGAAAAATTTTAGGCAAAAATTGGCCAAATTTGACTGACGATAACTCCGTGAAAAATCATCGCAAAGTTATGCTCTTTTTTTCAAATTAAAGCTTGAGATCTCTACTTTAAGACCCTGTAGTTTGATTTTAGATTTGATGCATCTCTACCACAATAACACCGTAAATGTGAGGTCATGTTTGCAATATTGAAAATTACAAAGTTTGACGGAATGCATGGACTTGCCATATTTTTTTTTGGTGATACTGTTTACAGCAGCATAAAGTAAAAACCTTCATCTTTAATTTCCAGTATGTGAAAAACCGCTATCCGCATTTTTTTCTGCAAAGATACAGAACTTTAAAGAAACCCTTGCATTTATGGCATATACTGCTGGCATTAGCATTACCTGATATGCACCTCAGAGAGCTTGCTGGACAGATTTTGCACAGTATCTGTGTGCAAAAAATACTGTGTGTTAATATTTATTCAGTGAGACAATTTAATGATATGGTGTGGATGAACTTGAAAATCGAAAAGAAGACACACAAATACACACAAAAAAGGCTCTTGTCAGAGCCATATGATGTTATCATCAGTCATATTTGGCCAATTTTTGCCTAAAATTTTTCTATGCCATATTTCTTTTGAACAGTGTATTTAAAAATCATGCAAATTGATCATACCGTCCGTTTTATAAATAGTTCCCCCCACTTTTTACTGCTATGCCGACCTATCTTTCTAACGAAACTAGTTACAGAAATTGCCCCACACCGAGTGACGAAAAATATGACCTATTTTATTCGAATAATTAATATTATGAGGACAAACCATTTGCAAATATTATAAAAATTGGGGGTGGGTTCCAATCGAATTTTTAAATTTTCGAAACGCGAGTTCGAAGCTTTATAATATTTAGAAACTCTCGAAACTTAAAGTGGTAATTTTATTTTGCATAAAATAAATCTTATTTAAAGACCGGATGTCAATCAAATTTTTTATCCACGTAGTGTACTTGCTTTGCAGTTCTACAATCATAATTGACTGTCAGTTAACTTACATACTCAAAAACAAAAATTACTTGCTAAACAGAACGCAAAACTTCACATACCGAATATATAGTATACAATAAAAAAACACATTAATTAAATATCTTCAAGACACGCCAAGAATGGTGCTTTATTTATTAATTTTATATATTTTCTTCTTTGGGTTTTGAGAGTGCAAAAAACTGCAGAGTTTCGAATTCTCGAAACTGCTTTTCTTGTGTTTCAAGGGGCTTTTGGTTTAGGTAAAAAATTTAATTTTATTTAAATTAAAAAAGATAAAAGTTAAATAAGATTTCAAAAAGAAAGTATATTACGGAGTGATAGAAAAATAAGTACACACGTTTTTACATTGTTTTGTAAAAATCGCCTTGAAGGGAATATGCGCTATTAAGCACATTTTGTCATTTATATAAACCTACAATTTTCGCGATTAAATATCGTTATAAATATGTTTTAATGTTACCAGAGTAAACTACTCTCAAACATTATTAGTAATATACAGGGTGTTACCTGTAACGCTACTCACGATTTTTCTCCCACTTGCAGCCAACTTACGAAAAAAAGTTTGCAACAATATTTGCAGGGTATGAAGTGCACAATAGATATTAGTAAAGCAAATTTTGAAAACAGTTTGTTCTCTTGGCAAAGTCAAGGTCAC